CGTTCATGTCCTTAGAATACAAGGCTGATTGAACTTCTTCAAAGGTCAGGGACTCCCTTCCATACAAGAGAGTTTCTTTGAAGTGAGCATGTGTTCTGGGCAAAGCACACAGCAACAATAGTGCTTGATCTTCATCATCGATCTTCACATCAATATTTTTAAGATCAAGAATCAGCTTGTTGAACATATCCAACTGCTCAGCCAACACTTTGTCTTCACTCATCTTGAATGAATATAAAGCTTGCTTCAGGTATAGTCGATTCACCAGAGATTTGGTCATGTACAAACTTTCAAGTTTCACCCATAATCCCGATGCTGTAGTCTCCTTTGATACCTGTCGAAGAACCTTATCACCAAGGCTCAATAATATTGCGTTGTGGGCTTTCTCGATCATGCCCGTCTTTTCTTTTGCCGTTAACGCAGCGTCCATGGCTGCCTCGCCCTTCAACGCTTCCAAACAACCCCGCTGAACCAATAGGGCTTTCATCTTCAAGCGCCACAGACCAAAGTCGTTCACTCCGGTGAACTTTTCAATCTCATACTTTGTTGAAGGCATCTTCTCCACGCTCACCGCACCAATTTGTTGTGAATCGGATACCTTAAACAAAGTATACACGGTTTCTTAATGATCAAGAAACACACAAGGGTTAGGGTTAACAAAGAAAACAAGGTAAAACAACAAGGAACAACAAGGATTGGTTATTAAACTGCTATTCTTTCCTTTCTCTTTGAACAAGATTACAAGTATACAAGAATAACAAAATAACCTCTCTCCCTTGAAATTAGGATTTTATCTTCCTATTTTTCCTTATGCCAAGATTGAGAAACTAGCATCCTATTTATAATAAAATAGCAAACTAACCTAATGGGCTTTTTAACAATTACCCATTACAAGCTAACAACCTTAGCAATATTTACTCATGCTAACAACCTTAGCAATATTTACTCATGCTAACAACCTTAGCAATATTTACTCATGCTAACAACCTTAGCAATATTTACTCATGCTAACAACCTTAGCAATATTTACTCATGCATGTTAGAACAAACTTCGACTACAACACGCATTACTTGCGAACAGACTTCGACCACACTAGAGTTCGATCCAATGTCTCACAACTACGAATCTTGCCATCACTATCAAAATTAAAGAGACTCTCACAATTACCAAACATTCCCAGTTCCACTAATTTACCAATAATCGTTTCGTCAAGACGCCTCACATTCCTATAGCAGTGGTTCAAAAAATCTATGCATCATCACAAGTTAAGGGTTCTATCAAGTTTCCATTCTCGTTTAAATCCCTTATTATTATCATGAATGAAAAAGAGGGGAAACTATCAAACCTCTACATGTAAAAGGGAGGAGCTTAAACTCGTGAAGAGCAAGAGCTGATAAAAAAAATAGCAGAAACATTTGAAAGCTTCAACAAAAAGTGAGTTAAAATGTGAAAGGGCTAGAATTGAATCCCTTTAAAAGAGGTGGAAAATTGGGGGTAATCAAGGGTTTCTAGGTTTCCCATCAGACAAGAAAGGATTTGTATAATTTTGACATGTGTGAAAGAAGGTCAATTTTGGCATCCCAAGGTTAAATTATCATTAAATTCCTCACACACATTTTCTCTTTCAACAGACGTTTGGGGATTTCCCCAGTGGACATATTAATCATATTATTTACACTTAGACACATATCCCAAAGTCACTTATATACATGGAATTATCACTACACATGAGGTGGTCGAATTATGTACAGTGGAGTCACCTCTCATTTGAGGGATTCAACTAAAGTCTCACCTTATGGACTTGGCTAACGTCTCGTCAGATGAACTTAACTTAAGCATCATTTAAACATGCTCCATTTAAGGCTCCCTCTAGGACATAGAATGAAGGAGGTGAAACAAAAACACTTCATCCGTTACAAGCCCCCATACTCTAAAGTATATGTATTGGTATATTTGAAAAGGATCTAGTGGGGACGAGGCATAGGCAAGTGATGTAGAATTATCCTATATTTTATTATGGGTCTCTGCTTTTCTAATCTGAGCGCCCATTTACTAGATGTGCCACTCTTTTACTAGATGCATTATATTCCTTTGGGAGGAGTCATATGAGATGGAAAAGTGGGGAAATGACACATCCCTATTCTATAACAGTATAAAAGTAGTAATTTGACCATGTTCTTTGAAATAACAATGGATTAACTATCCACTCATGCACTCTCTCAATGGTGGTTGCTATTTACAAGGGGCCTAGGATCTAGAGTCAACACCACTATAAATACCTCAACACTAAAGTTGAGAAGGACAATTTGATTCTCATACATAAAACCACATATGTAGAGCTCCTCGCCTCCTACGTCTACTAACTCTCAATCCTACAACAAACCTTAAAGCCTATAACAACCCTTAATCCCTAGAGTTTGCCACATATTATACTTTTAGCTAATGCAATATTTTATACTAATTTTGAGTATCTCTAAATTAATATAAAATATTCTAACATTGATGAACAAATCCATAAACCGAATCAAACAAACTTGATACCTATGAACCGTCCAGACCAGACCCACCGCCTGCTAGATCTTCCTTTATGGCTCTCTGATTTTTGGAAATCTTGAAACATGTCTTATTTATCTTCGCCACTTAAAGGTTTTAAAGAACACTTCTAAAATCTCCACCTTGACTTGAAACCATGTTGATTTCAATTTATCCATCAATTACCTTGCTGCTCTCAACCATGTTGAATAACTATTTATCAAATTCAAGTCATACTCCAACCTAGACCATGCCACTTGCATTCACTTTCTTCTAATCACATTTTTCTAATTAGGTAATCTAACAAGTAGGGGGTGGAAATAGACTGGGCCGAGCTAGGTTTTGCCAAGCCTGAGCCTAGATTGTTAAAAAATTTTAATCCTAGGCCTGGACTGCTAAAAAAATTTAAATCCCAAGCTTGGCTTGTAGCCTATCATAGACTTATTTTAGGTCTGAGCCTGCCCTTTCTAAAGGCTTGATTAACCTACTATCCTATTTAAAAGTCTACTTCATTTGAACATTTGCAAATAAGAAATTCAAATAATGTTAAATAGACTAACAAATTAAAAGATCAATGAGACTGAATATTTGTTTTCATTATCTCATTCAAGTTTACCTATTAGTATAAGTTTGATGATACTATTTGTTGGAGAGAACTTATGAAAAAAACTTATGACAACAACATATGATATTGTTTATATTATTTTTTCAACTTATTTTCATAAGTTGTTTAAGGTAACTAAGCTTTATTTTCATAATTTAATTCAAAGTACAAAATACAATATAATAATAATAATAAATTTATTGAGTTTTTTTTAAATAGGTCAGTGTGATAGACTTAAAAGACTTTTCTTACAGCCCATGGCTTAACCTATTTAGCTAAATAGACTTATAAAAAAACCTATGCCTTTTATATTTAAGAAAAAGCCTGGCCTGCTCAGGGCCTATGTAGGCTAGGACGTAGGACCTTATTAGTTGGTCTGACCTATTCCCACCCCTACTAACAAGCCAACAAGCATGACTCTTCAACCATCTCTGACTCTCTTTGCCTTTTGAATGCCTTTTTGAAGGTCTCTGTTTCTGAGTTTTGCAACCCTTCAGCCACATTCAAAGCATATCACCCACCACCAACATAACCGTCCCTTTTAGATGATACAATCTGCCTCCTTAACTTATCACGAGTCAAATAATAATCAAAGACATATGTAATAGTTTCATCACTAGTCCTAGTATCCAGAGAAGGAAACTCCACCTCAAACTGAGTGTTATATGTCGTAGTTTCTATAAGCTTCATCCCTAGGTCTTTATTGTTTTTCCCCTGATGCGACTCACTAAAAGTAAATCATATGCTATTGATGAACTTCAATCCTCTATGTTCCACTCCCAATAACTTATAAACCTTCCTTCATTCGGGATAGCTGTTGAAGACCTAATCCAAAACTTTACCTTCAAGTTGATTCAGCTTGATTTGATCAATAAACAAAATTTTGGCGATCTTTCAATAAGTGTAGTTTTCAAATTTCCTACTACAAACTACTAGAGGTGTTTGAAAGTTTATTCTTATAAAAAAAACATCTGCCAACCAAGTAAACTGTTTTGAAACCAACCTTACTCCATAAGACTTAACGATAATTTTGTGTTTATAAAGTCACCAATGCATATTTGCTAATATCTTATTTATTTGTATATATAAGAGTTTCAAATTGTTGCTTAAAAAACACAAAATAAACTTATTAAAAAAATGACAAAGTTGTGCTAATTGATGCCAATTAAACTTTATTTTTTAGATAATTTTTTTTTCACTTGTAAAAAATATTGATAATGTTATCCAAAAAGCTATCAATTTTGAAGAACTAGAGACTTTTTGTGTTAGAGACAATGTAAAAGGTAAAGGAAGAGATCCAAAATAAAACAGAACGTTATTGGTTTGTTTGTGAGTTTGAAGCTTAAAGAGAAATAGAGAAAAATTTATATAGAAACGAACTTAAATTCTTATTGTTACAAACAACCAATAAAAAAGAAAAAAAATATTAAATTTGTTTAAAATTTAATTTATTTTTAAATTAGATTCATGGTTGCGATTATGAAAGAGTGAATATTATATTTTTATTTTTTAATTATTTAAAAAAAAGTAATTGGTTGTTTGTAACCAAATGTTATGTTTGTTTGCCTAAGTTTTTTCGAGAGAAAGGTTTCTAGAAATATTACAATGAGAAATTTGAGAGATCCGATAAGTTAGGGGGTTCCAAAAGAAATGCACTAGTGTAATTGGATATTTAAGTGGGCCTTGGCCTGCATCATGCTGAATACGGGTTAAAAAAACAGGTCGGGTCACAAACCGTTTCTCATTTATGATCGATCTAAATCCCCATTTCATCTAAAACCCTACTTCTCTTCGAGACTCAACAGAGTCTTCATCTCTTCAACTCACAACTAGGGTTTTCAGAAAACCCAAATCTTTTCAACAATGTCGATGTCAAAGAGTTCAAAGATGCTTCAATACATCAACTACCGTATGAGGGTAACAATCCAAGACGGCCGTCAACTCGTCGGAAAGTTCATGGCCTTCGATCGCCACATGAATCTTGTTCTCGGTGACTGTGAAGAGTTTCGTAAACTTCCGCCGGTGAAGGGTAAGAAAACGGCTGATGGAGACCGTGAAGACCGCCGTACACTTGGCCTTGTTCTACTTCGTGGTGAAGAGGTTGTTTCCATGACGGTTGAAGGTCCTCCTCCTCCTGAAGAGAGTCGGTCGAAGGGTGTTAATGCTGCGGCGATGGCTGGTCCGGGAATTGGAAGGGCTGCTGGGAGAGGTGTTCCTCCGGCTCCTGTTATTCAAGCTCAGCCTGGGCTTTCTGGTCCTGTTCGTGGTGTTGGTGGACCTGCTCCTGGAATGATGCAGCCGCAGATCTCGCGGCCTCCTCAGATGTCTGCGCCGCCTGTTTCGTATCCTGGTGGTGCGCCGGTTATGCGTCCTCCTGGTCAGATGCCGTATCCTGGACAAGGTCCACCGCAGATGGCGAGAGGTCCTCCGCCACCTATGCCGCCTGGACAATTTCCTCAGAGACCTGGTGGTCCTCCACCGCAGTTTTCCATGCCGCCTCCTCAGTATGGGCAGAGACCCATGGGCCCACCTCCTCCTGGTCAGATGGTGAGAGGACCTCCTCCTCCACCTCGTCCTGGAATGCAAGCGCCTCCACGCCCTGGCATGCCTCCTCCTCCTGGAAGCGGTGTTCCGGTATATGGTCCACCTCGGCCGGGCATGCCCCCTCCACCAAACGCTCCAAACCAACAACAGCAAAATTGATTGGTATGTTTGCCGGTTATTTTGCTCTTACTTTTGTTGATGTGATTATGATAATTTCTGTTTTTACTTTGGGTATCTGAAAATCGCTGTCTTCTAAAAGTTCAACAAAGTTGTAGATTTATCAAACCGGAAGTAACTGAAAAAACTGTAGAATTTCAAAACATGGACTATAATTGACTAGTGATTTGATTATTGGGATACTATAGTTCTAGTTTTTGTAGGATAAAGTATACATGCTGTTTTATGAAATTAGAATTAATTGGGAACTTCCTTGTAACTGCATAAATTAAGTTATTTTTCTTAACTATTTATTATCATGTTTGTTCACATGCTAGTAAGGATCTATTTAAGTAAATGTGCTGAAATAGAGTTTGATTTTATTCTTTTGTTTGATGCACTAACTAGATAATTTTGGATGAGGTGGTTTGCTATGCGGTGTGGTGAATTATGTGGGATTATGGATGTACCTTGGCATGTCTTGGTGTATACTTGTGAGTGATTAAATTTGCTTGTATTTAGAGTTCTATATGTCTTACAAGTACCTCCTTTTTCTCCCATTAAGCCTTTATCAACACACATACCTTGGCTACCAAAAAGCTTGAATTAGTGTGATATTTTGTATTGGCTTTGTTCTTAATCCATTGTCAAGCTATTTTGGTTTTCAGATTCCATTTCTCTAGAAAACCGGTTTTAATGTTTATCTTCAATTTTATGTTAATCACCTGTTACTATCTGTTTGCATTTTTAACTGTGTATACTATAACTGCATCTAAAGGGGGTTGTCAAAGTTTGTAAGCATTCTTAAAATTTTGGTATATACTTGGACGCTGTGTGGTTGTGTGATAGAGAGTCATTGGTGTGTTTTGTAAGCCGGTGTTTTAGTATAGGTTGATATTTTTTTGTTGTGTTTGGGGGCGTGAACCCTGAGTGGGTCCTATGATTTTGATAGAAGTCTCTAATTTACAATTGGATTTGCTTAATACATGCTTAGTTTACTTTTAAACATCTTGGTAAATTAGCACATTGTATTTGGCCATACCAAAGCAATTTCCAACAAAAACAATCTCTAATCAATTTTCGATTGATAAGCAGTACAAACAATATCTTAAAACAATAACATTAACATCAGAAGGTAAATAGCCCTTGTATTGGATGATATATGAAGCAGCGGATTAAGACCTAGGAAGCAAGTACCCCTCAAAGCCATGCCATACCACATTCGTTAATGACAAAGATTATCGATTAATCTGGAACATTTCATGGACTTTTTAAGTACTTCCTAGTTGTGTTTCTTACCTTTTTATTTTTTTATATCAACATCCAGATAGGATTACCACAATTATTACGAAAATTTTAAGATTTTACTACTTGGGAAATAGTATTTTACACCACATTTCATAACTAATACTTTCTACTGAAGTCATTATTCACAGCATGAAACAACTTTCATATCTTAGAATTTTCCTTCACAACCATACTTAAAAGAAATCTATTATGAGTCATGACTTAGCAACTGTAACGAGGCTAACGTGGAGAAAATAGCAATGTGATTTCAGACAACAAAAAATGAATAATTAAATTAACAAAGCATTTTAGTCAATTCTGTTTACATGCCAGATTGTCATAGAGAGACTCCACTAATATTTTAGCCGGGTAGAAATAGCACTTCTGTAGAACCCAGCAAATTCTTGATGACATGTGATAATAAAGAGAAACTCAGTAATAACTTGCGTACACAGTTGGATCACTATATGTCATGCTGTCTAGTATACTCATTTCATTTTCTAGAAGTTTGTTACATTTGTTATAGTCACCTGACTGATGTTTATTAAATAAGGTTATTTAAATGTCAATGTATATAATAGGCTCCTCTATGTGCTGCTCTCCAGGGTTGCAGTTTCTTTAAGATTCCTTAAATATAGCTAATGGCTGCTTCTTTCCCAGGATTCAGTTGAGAAACCATCATTACAAAATTTGCTAGCTTGAGAAGGTTGAAATCTATGATGAAATAGTTATGAAATTCTCTCAGAGCATCACCAGCCTGAATTCTAAATATAATAATGATGAGTCTAACAAATAAATTATAAAGCATGATAAAATGAATAAATGATAACTTTATTGAGTACCTAAGTTGAATGTTTAGTTTACATCTTGAATTTGTTTGTTTTACTTCATGTTCTGGAAGGTTTAATTTTACTTGTGACCCGTGTGTAACTGACATCTCTCAAATGCTATACTGTTGCAGGATTCTTCTTGCTGGAGCTCTGAAGTTACGGACATTGGATTTCTCATTACAGCTCAATATCCAATTCCGTGAGAGTAATTGTCACCTGTACAACCTTGAATCAGTCTCTTATTAGGGTTTTCATTGATATTGTGATGAGAGCGTTTATATTAGAACATTTATGTTTTGGAGGAAGATATTGTACTGAAACTCGAGCATTAAACATCCAAAACTGGCTTGTAGATTGTTGGGTAATTTTGCTAAATCAGTTTGCTAATTTCTAAATTGTAGGGCATGTTTTGTCTCATTTAAATGTTTTATGTTATATAACATAATTATCATTTCGAAAATCATTAACTGAAAATTTGGTAATTTCAAGATTTTGTTTGTCTCCGGTGTTCAGTATGACTGCATCAGTGGGGTGAATATTGTCATGACAATTGATGAAGTACTGCGTAAAATGTTAAATAAAGATAATTTTATATTTAGATGAAAGGAAAGTTCAGATTTGTTAATTCTAGAACAAATGGCGCATTATATAACATTGTTAAATGTGGCTACATTTTTATTTTACAGTTTTATATTTATATGAATTACACATATGTAGAGATATTTTAGTAATTAATTTATAGAAGTAGTATTTCATGGTGAGAAAATAGAAGGTGCACGGACACATTTAAAGAACTTTACCTGATTTGCAAAATAAGAAATTGGACATGTGGTATAAGATAACTTTTTGTACTGAACTATGGGTAATGGTCATTGCATTGTGGACAATTTTTTTTTCTTTCTATTTTGTTTGATATATCCATGCATCCCATGATATAATTTTTCTTTCTATTAAATGATGAGAAGAAGAAAAATGATAAAGAAGAAAAAGGTCACGGCCGATCTTTGATGTATTAGCACCCTAAATTTTTGTAGTACTCTATAGGAACCTTTTGTTTACTGTTACTATTTTGCTTTAATTATTTGCTTGGGGTACATTGCTAAGGGTTAAAAGTGACTGAAAGACCTAAGGGTTAGTCCTAAGTTTACTCAGCAAGATTCGCATCGCATCTTGTGTCTACGTATCCTTCAAATATATCATCATCCCTTCAACTCACCTTCAAAACCTAATAACAAAAATGGAACCCAAGTTCACTGGCAAGAGATTCAAGACCCACACTAGGAAAAATGCCACACCGGTGATCAATTATTCTGATTCAAAAGACTATGATGTCGAGAGCTTCATTAATAGCGATGCCCACAAGCGATTCACCGGTCACTTTGCTGGAATGAGTGAACACTCTGAAAGGGGTTTGTATATGATATCGAGGAAGAATATTTGGGACTTCCTGGAGACATTGGACGAATCATCAAAGCGATGAGATGGATGAAGTTTGCAAGCACCCCGACCCTTACAATATGAGTTTTATGCCAACCATGTTGAAACAACAAGCAACAGACAGATTGGAAGTGAGAGTCAGAGGTATAAATGTGATGTAATCAGAGGCAACTATCAACATGATGCTAGGCCTAAACAATGTTCGTGATACTTACCAAAATATGCTGGACACTTTTGATGACGATGACTATGATGCATTTATGGAGTCCTTATGCAACCCTAGTACAAAATGAATTGATTCAGGCGCTGAAAAGAAGGTCAGGAGGATGAACTTGCCCCATGAATCAAAGGTGTGGTATCAATTTATCAAACACACTTTGTCTCCCACTACTAGGGCTGGAAATGAGTCGAGTCGAGTCGAACTCACCTCAGCTCGGCTCGACTCGTTAAGAATTGTTCGAATTCGAGTTCGACACGAACTTTTTTTTAAGCTCAAACTCGACTCGCTATAAGTTCACGAACAGTTCGGTTCGACTCGTTAGGTTCATCTCATTAGGTTTAGCTCACATGGTTCACGAACTTAAAAACTATTTTTTTAAATATATATATTTCTTAGTATATTTGACATTTTAAATAAATATATATTTTTTAAATAAAATATTAAAATAAAATAAAAGTTATCATATTGATATTTAACTTTATCTTCGAAATCTACTAATTCAAAACCTACACAACTTTCAAGAGATACATTTGAGAGTCTAATTCAAAAACTACTAAATTGAAGATTAAATTTGTCTAAGATTTGAAGTAAATATTTAAACCTAATCTTAAAGACAGTATAATTCTTTTCATATGTAATCGAGTTGACTCATGAACCTAACGAGTCGAACTATGTATAGTTCAAGTTCAGCTCATTTAGTTAACGAACTTAATTTTTCGCTCATACTCAACTCATTTGGTTCATGAACCTGGTTCAACGATTTAATTGTCGAGTCGAATTCCGAACTATCTTCGAGTTGGTTTGGTTCATTGCCAGCCCTACCCACTACCCACAATGAGACTATAAGCAATGCCAGGTTGGTTTTGAATGACTACATTACTTCATTTAGCGTAGTGAATGTAGCCAAAATCATCATTCAAGAAACCCAGGCCTTGTTCAAGGAGAAAGAGGGGATGATCTACTTCCCTTGTCTGATTACAGCTATATGCAGAAGGCATGGTGTCCTTGAGAAGCCCATTGATGAAGTTTTCCATTCTCAACCTGCTTTTGGAAAGACTGTTATCCAAACTATGATGAAGCCTAAGGGAAGAAAAAGACAAACTGAGGCATGACATGAGGCTCCAAAAGAAAATACCACTTTTGAAACTGATAGAGTGATGTGGGGATTGTTGTTGTAGATGAAGAAAGAACAACATGAGTTTTACAAGTTTTCTAAAGACCAACATGAA